AAAAAAATAAAAAAAACTTGTGTCAAGCATGATTTGATGAATTGAATGGTGGGTTTTTGTTGCACAACGTCTTAAAGTCGGTTTTAAATTTTGAAATTAGCTGTTTTTGTGTTGTAAGCTTCTTACTTTTTTGTTTGATTGCCTGGAAAATTTATGGAAGAACAAGAAAAGTTTCGGTATGCATTAATGGGGGTGAAGTTTTAATCTGCCTAGCTTAATGGGGGTGAAGTTTTAAAATTTAATCATATATTATGTGTTTTACTTTACTGTTTTGTATGCGATTACATAGTTTGCCTCACTTTTGTTTATATCAGGTAAGGAGGGATTTGAGGCTTTTACAATCAGCTAAACTGGAGGAACTTTTGGGTTGCTGTTTCCAAAGTATTACTGGGAAGAGACCTAAGCAAAAGTTGCATTTACTAGAAAGGTAAAACATGAATTTCAATTATCATCCGATGCTGCATTTTTTTTTTGGAGGGAGGTAGAGCGGAGTAGACGTTTCATCAGCGTATGTTGCATTTTTTTTTTTTGGAGGGAGGTAGAGCGGAGTAGACGTTTCATCAGCTTATAATTGAACTTTAATTAGAGTTCCAAGAAAGTTTATTATGAAATTTGTAATTATTTTGTTAAAAGGAAGGAAAATGTATAACATATTGTTTTTATTTGGTTTATTAACTTTATCTTTTGTTATGAATCAGGATCATAGGTAAATGAGTTTTCTCTCTCTTCTAAATTGGAAATCTCAGCTGTGTTTAACAGGCATAAAGCTTTCATTACCCTGACTACATAGTTTATATTATAATCACATGCCAAATCGTTGTGTCACAGCTTGAAGAGAAGGAAATGTGAAAGTGGAAAGCATAATTTTATGGAGCGACTTCTTGGAGCTGCACGCCTTTTATCACAGGTGCTTTCTTGCTTTCATCAAATGATTTGTTAATTTTCCCTCCCATAAGCGTCATAATAGTGGTTAATAATGCTTTATTCTGTATAATTTTTGCAAAATCAATTAACTGCTAGGGTTTGCTATAAGCGGAGAAACCTTTCACTTTCATTTAAGGATGTGAGGTATACAACATGTTAACTTAGAAGAGTCCAAACGTGAGGTTACATCATTACATTGTTTACTTTTGATTTATGAAGATACCCGAATCATGTTTCAAGATATTTTTACTTGTGAATCATGTTACATGAGTGTCTGATACAATTGAATGCCAGGTGTCATATCCTTAGGTGCTTATGAAAGAAAAGTGATCTATCTATTCATATTTCTTTCTGTGTGTGGTTGTGCATACTTAGATCCTGTAACCGATTCTATGCTTGTGATGAGGACCATGTTAGATAGTCCAGCATGAAATACGTGCTCTATTCTAACATGTTAACTGTGTTTTGTTTCTGTTGCAGATGGTTGAGCCAATGTTGAAGGCGGCTATGTATCCTTTGCTACTAGTTATACGTATAGGAATTTTCTTGTAACTTTTATAAGATCAGAACCAATGTGAAAACTGCTGTCCAATTGACTATCACATTACCATATGTCTAATGCATCCGAGTCTCATAGTAGTGTCTGAGAACTGCTGTCTTGGTCAAATTATCTTAATAACTAGTTTCCCAAGTAAGCTGTAAGCATTTTTGCATGGTATTAGATTGCGATTTATCTTTTCACATAGACCAATTTTTTTCTTTGTTTTTGCAGCATGATTATTTTAAGTTTTTAAACTATTATTTTGCAAACTGATTGCCATTCTGTATCCAGTAGTCCAGTCCTTGGATCACCAAACATAAATTGCATATGCATCTTGTGAATTTGTTGATCTTGACTATTGTACAGTGAGATATCTACGTTGCTTGCTCGATCGTTCTTCATGGGATTTTCTCTGACTGTGTTAGCTCTGCTTGCACGACTTCGAGTTTTGGTTCAACAAGTAAGAAGTAACTCCAAGCTTTTTTCCCATAATTCTTTCATTTGAATTGTACAGATTATTTATTAACTGTCTGTAGTTTATGGCAAATATGCTCATGTTCTTATCGTATAGATGGTTCACGTTCTGAACCCATTCATAAATTCCCACAAACCTGGAGGTGTAGGAACATGGAACTGAGTTATCCAACAAAACATTATCCTTTAGTTAAACATGTCATATAGCCAAGTGGGTAGTTTGTGGTATCATGATGAAGGGAAAATGTACATGCTGCAGCAGCATTTGGTAGTGATTAAACATGGGATTGAGGTATCCAAAGAAGTAATAATGTTTATGATAGAATGTGGTATCACTAAGTTTGGACATTTCAAGATTCAAGTTTTTTTCCGACAAAAAAAGAAAAAAGGACATGTCATGCTTTAAGTTCATCTCTTGGAGTTGGACTGATTTGCTGAACTTTTCTTTTCCTCTATTTTCTACAGATTCTACTCGATGCTGTTTCAGTATTCAACATGGTTTCTTCTCTCTCCCAAACACAGCAATCCGTCAAGATAATTCAAGGAGGACTTGAGGTGACCCCTTCTTTTATTTGGAAAATTATTCTGGTATCAAATTATTTTTAGATCTATGTTTTTTTTACCGTTCTCTTTATGCAAGATTGATGCAGGTGTTTAGGGAGTTTTACCCTTCAAATGAGGAAATTATCATTCTTGAGTGTGTGTGGAAATCAGATAAGTTTGAATTGATTGAGAGGACACATAAGACTGAGATTGCAACTCATGATGGAGATCTTTGTTTAGGGGAATCATCTGTGCTGTATAAAAGCACCGAGTCTATCCTTGGAGGTGAGGATACTCATGGATATTTTATTTCTTTATCTCTCTTGAACAGTTCTGTTCACCTGGTCCCTGGGGACCAGAGAGTTTCCTGGTCAGCTGTCGCTGGATTAATTCCAGCAATGGAGAGCAGCATACTGTACGTTGTGCCTCCATTTGCTTATCTTAATTTCCTCCATTTGCAATGTTAGTTGTTCTAATGTGACATGATTGATTTTGCTGCTTTATATGCTTGTTGCTGTATGATACTGTCTATGCCACATGGATAAAGACACTCAGTAGCTTGGCTAATTATTTTCTGTCATCGACATGAGCATTTTTATACAGTGAAGGCATTGGGGGCTTCGACTTTCTCTCATTTTCAGGATATACTATTCTTCCTTATACATACTGATGGGAAGCAAAGATTATCAAGTTTTTTCCATTTCTATCTTTCATGTGTATATGTTGTTTTTGAGTTATTCTTAGGCTTTTACGATGTCTTTAGCCACTGGTAGGTTAGAGGTTCTGCACATTTGAAAGGATGGTTTGTCCAACATGCTTGTATCTTTAGTTGTATCGTATCAATAAAATCTGTGTTCTCATAAAATATGAAAAATACCTTTTGGACTTCTATGTTTCTGCACAAAAACATAATTAATTGTGCTTATGCATCCATCTTTGAGCGATAGGAATACATCATATGTTTCCAAACACATCTTCCAGTATGATGTAATTTTAGTCGTACGAGTGACTAATTTTCTCCTAAAGGTTCATTCAGGTTTCGTTTAAGTGTTTGAAAAGTCTACATGAAGTCCTAAAGAACTTGGTTAAACAGAGGTTTACGGTTATCTACTTGGTTTATAACCAAAGATAAAAATAGTGCATAGTAGCTTTGTCTAAGTTTTGTTTTTTCATCGTGAAAAACTTTGTTCTTTGTTTAAACTTTGGTTTCATGTAGTTTAATGTAATGGAATTATAATTTACTTGATTCCTGTTAAACTTTTGGTTTGTGCCAGATGATGAAACTATTCCCGAAACGGCAGATGCAAACCACAGTGCTGAAAAAGTTCCAATCGAGGTCAAGGAGGATAAGATCGATTTGATGTCAGGCCTGTCCAACGACGGTGATAACAGTCAACTGGTTGAGCATTGCGAAGATGGTCCAGACATTGGAGAGAATCCGAGCGAGAACTTTTCCGAAGAAGGCAGCTTGCTAACAGGCACAAGCTTGTCTCAAAGTTCCGATGCATCAAAACTGCAGTCTGGACCTGTTAAAGTGGCGTTTATACAAGTGAAACATCCCTTATACTTGACGGCGAATACAACTGAAATCCATTCTAAAGAAAATGACATCAGTAGCAGTACCAAGGAAGACCCATTATTCAGTTTGCTTTCTGGTGGAAATGTAATGAGTAGAGTCTCTTCTGAGTAATCTCATGGATCGTGAGCGGCACCAGAACCTATTAAATTCTCTCTCCGTGTCCCAATTAAATTTTCCAATGCAATACGATCATTTTTTTTTTCTCTCTCCTTGTCCCAATTAAATTTTCCAACATCACTCAAAAGGGTGGTGTCCTTTTAAGTCGAGTAGAAGGTTGTATTAGATATGATTACTGCCCCTGTTATTTTAGGCAACAAAACTGAACAAAAAATATAAAGGAGTTTGGTCGGCTTTCTCATCCACACATTTATATGCCCAAACTCTTTTAACGTCTCCGCTTTATTTAACAAATAAAATCCAACCATATCTACTTTGTTTTTGGTCGAAGTCAAGACACAAATGTGATAAACTTTGAATCCAACGGTCAGTACTTTCTACATTTTACTTCCATGTACACTGTAAATTTGGTGTTACCCGTCAAAGTATACGACCAAAATTCCATTATATAATTTTGGACTGTTGGGCACCACTCATATCTTAACTTTTATTTGCCAAGTTGATCAGACTTTTTTATAGACTCATCACGTCGCTCTTATAAACTTGACATTTCATCCTTTTAGACCCATCATTTAAAAAATAAAAAAATAAAAAAAATAGTTAGTTCAAAACTTGAAGCCAATTTTCCTATATAATATTCTATGAATTTCTTTGAGATACAAATGCAGTATATATTGTGTACATTATGTGTAAAAGGAAGAGAAATGCATAATATGGGATTGGTTGAGGTTTGTTTGGGACTTTTGGGTTTGGATTATTTGGGGCCTAACTGATTCACTAAAGACAGGTGGTTGAAAAGGATATTGCAGAGATCAAGACGGTGACGTTTTGATGGGATTACATTATAGGAGGGAGGAGAGAGATCTTGCCAGCGAAAATTGTGGAAAAACTCTGGAGCTTTTGAAGGGAAAAGCATAGAAAATGGTTCTTGTGCTCCAATGCTCTCTTCCTCCTCCTCCAAATGTCTCCACCAGCAGGTACATAAATCTCACTCATTTCCATTTCCCACTCTGTGACCTTATATTGTTATGAGGCAATTTTTGCTATATTTTCTAAATTTTTTTGTTAATGCTATTTATTTTTTCATTTTCTCTGTTTTTTAATTATTTATTTTTTTTTTTAATTTTTTTTAAATTTATCAAAATCTTGCTGTAATTGCTCGTAAATGATTTGGTTTCGCAAGTGGAGGATTGCCCTGGTGGTTAGCGCCTTCCTCTTCAACCTACCGCGCCCGCCCTGTTCAAACTCTCCCCTCCCATTAGTGTAACTTAGAGTAGAAATATCGCTTGTAGTAAGATAAAAATGATGGTAACTGTGAAGTAGTCTTGTGGGTTCTGATCTACAACTATAGCCGATAGGTTGATGTAGAGTGCAATTCCCGTATGATCCTGTCTAACTTATGTAATTACATATGCATAGATGCCTCTGTGTTCTCGGATTCATAAGTGATTACATGAATTATATACGGTTTGGTTTTAAATTTTAACAACATTTTCCAAGTTGATGTTTTTCGTTTGGTCTTTTTTGAGTGCAAAGAGTGACATTTTGTTCTTCTTCTTTACAGGAGAGTGCCTGGTAAGATAATGATGAGTTGCTGTTTGGAGCAATGTATCAGCAGCAAGCCTCTGACCAGGCAGGTTTTATCCGGGCTTGCTGCAACGTTAGTGTTCATCTCTCAAACGAACCAGGTTAGCAGATTTCAATTTTACGTAGCGTTATAGGATGCTGGAATTCAATACTAGCACAATATTTGTATTGCTAGTTGCTAAATTTGGCTCATCAGATTACATAAACGAACATAGGTCTTGGACCAATCATTTCCTTTCTGGACGTTGTCTAAGCTACCCCCTTGGATTAACATTTGTTCGAGTTCTTTCCCTTGTCGGGAATGTCACATCATTTCTGGCTGAGATGTTTGAGAGTGGTGTTCTTGATTTTTTATTTGAAACCTCGTAGAACACTGAGTTTTAACTTCCTTTAAGGTTTCACTCTGTATAACCGATTTAAATAAGATTAGGATTTCCAACAGAATTAGCCGGACTTTGAATGTGCTTGAAAGTTTAATGGGGAATTTAGTCCAAAACTAGGTTGCCTTATGGTTATATAGTAACAAAAAAGATATAGGTATTCTTGTGTCATTGCAGGAGTTAGAGGATACATGATGCCTTTTACTGCTTTTGGGCAGGCTGTTGCATTAGATGTTTCCCATCAACGAAATATATATGAGTTTGCAAATGCTTCGGAGAAGGCACTTACTCTTCCGCTCGATAAGGGATCCGATGAAGGAGATGAGAGGCTAATGATGATGAGAGGCATGACAGCAAAGAACTTTGACCCTATTAGATATTCTGGAAGGTGGTTTGAAGTTGCTTCGCTTAAACGCGGATTTGCTGGGCAAGGTCAGGAAGACTGCCACTGCACCCAGGTAAACACAAAGGGTATGTGTAGTTATGAACTGCAAAATTTAGTTTGAATTCTTGCTTCTGGAAATAGTGTAGAATTGAGAGGAAAATATATAATCCCCTTTCTTTTGAATTAGACAAGATTGCAGATCCGAACTGTTGAGCCTATTCATTAATCATCGTTGAGCTATCTAGTTGTTTACCGATAGCCCTTCCAAGTTTCAAGTGATCGAAATCATCCTTAAAGCGATATCAGCTTTCTTGTGATGATTTGCTTCTCATTGTTTATAGATGACAGGTTCTTTCTGTCACATGTTCACTACCTATTTCCTGACTGCAAAACCGTATCAACTTTTATTGCAGGGTGTATATACATTTGACTTGACGAAACGGGCCATCCAGGTTGATACCTTCTGTGTTCATGGGAGCCCTGATGGATATATTACTGGCATACGGGGAAATGTTCAATGCCTTTCGGACGAAGATTTGGAGAAAAAAGAAACGGATCTAGAAAAGCAGGAGATGATCACAGAGAAGTGTTACCTTCGTTTTCCAACGTTGCCATTTATCCCTAAGCTGCCATATGATGTGATTGACACTGATTATGACAATTACGCTCTTGTTTCGGGAGCGAAAGACAAGGGTTTTATACAGGTACTTACTCATGAACTGACTTTCAAGTTATCCGAATGTTAAATAAAATGACTCGTGTTTACTTGTTTGAACATTATATACTCATGTCACTTGTTTGACACTTGTTTGTACCTTCCCTTCAATCAAGAGAACCACTTTGGTCTCACCCGAAATGACATTTTTGGTACAAATACTTCGATTTTTTGGATTTAAAAAAAGGCAATCCAGAACAATCCATTGTCGGGTTATTTTTCACGGATGATCATTACAGAAAATAGTAAACACTCCACGATCATAATTAAATATAACTTGTAGGGATGATCTTTGAGAGTAAATCGTGAAATATGGATGATCAGATCATTGGATCACCGGCGCATTGCTGGGCAGGCCACAACTGCCCCATCTTTCTTAAAAGGAGACACATATATATGTACACACACAAATGGATTGTTAAGATGTAAAGCTGTTCTTTTTTCTGCTCATTGGTTGGCTCTTGTTTGTGCTTTTACACTCCACATATTATATACGCTCACAACTGCACTGTTAAGATGCAGAAGCTTGTTGCGCAAGTTTTACTCGCGTCTTTACCATTCAGGGATGCATCAATCATATCTTCGTATTCTGTTTTCATCTACTGGTGAGTCGTTTTGTGGCATTAACATTACAGATTTACTCGAGAACACCTAATCCTGGTCCTGAGTTCATAGAGAAGTACAAATCTTACTTGGCCAACTTCGGATATGACCCGAGCAAAATCAAGGACACACCACAAGACTGTGAGCAAATGACAGACACGCGGTTATCTGCAATGATGTCGATGCCCGGGATGCAACAGGCATTAACAAATCAATTTCCTGATCTAGAACTGAAGAAACCTGTTCAATTTGATCCCTTTACGAGCGTATTCGACACCCTAAAGAAGCTTGTTCAGCTTTATTTTAAATAGCCCTGAGCTGCTTAGTCTTTGCTCTTCTTGTTTGTTATCTGTTCTGTTCTTACAAATCAAACTAGAAGAGAGGTTAAGTCGTTGTTCGTACCATTCATGGTTTCTTCTTTGTAATTTTCATACTGGTGCAATGAGAAATTAAAATGATATTTTATAAATAATTTTGGAATTGTTATTAGCACTCCAGAAATCTCATTTGTTACTTCAAACTTTTTATAATTAAAAAAAAATACACTTGTGAGGATTGTAGAATGAGATTTTTGACGTGCTAATAACAGTTCCCATAATTTTTATGTTAAACTTATTTTATCTAACAAAATCTATCGTTTGACAAAAAAAAAAAAAAAAACTTTTAAGTTTCTTGCACACCACCCTTTATTTATGGCTGTTGGATTTATCTGTACAACCATTGTTCTAAAATCTTCGCCTATCACCATCGAGGCCCTACCTAGGTGCTAGGCTGTTGGCTATAGTCTTGATTAATCCCTAAACGTTTAAAAATTAAGAAATGACACATATCTGCTTAGGGGCCCACATAAGCACCACCCAGGTCGCGACTCTCACTTAGACAAAAAAAAAAAGGGAACTTTAACGAAAAGCACCCGGTACTGTTCACTTTAACGAAAAACCACATTTTTACACTAAAAAGTCAATTCTGATACTATTCAATTTACCCTTTATTTTGTCCTTATCATTAAAACTTAAAGTTTTCAAGCCCTTTTATTAGTTTTCCTAAAAAAAAACTTTCATTTTGTATTATGTTCTAATACTTTATGATATATATGTCATTCTATTTTCAATTTATATATCTCAAAGCAATTATGTATTTTTTTAATTGTAAGCACACTTATTTATGCAATATATAATAAATTTATTTAAATCTCCTCGATAGGCCCTAATCTACCGTCCGACTATCACTTAGCGTATTTTACAACCTTGAATACAACTAGGATTTAACAAAGGTGTCTGATTTGGCCCAATCGTAATTTGAGTGGGTTAAGTTATGGGACTCGGGTCAAAATAAAGCCCAATAAAAGGCCACACTAAAAACACACGCAAACATAAACATAGCCAGTAGGAGCTAGCAAGCCTAGCAAGAGAAACCATGAAACTCTCCTTCTCTCTCCCTCCCAAATCCTCCTCTAAGTCAAACCCTAAACGCAACCCCTCCTCCGGCACCGCCAACTTCGACAACGGCACCGGAAACAACGCAAACGACGCCGCTTCCAAGCACTTCGTCAGCGAATTCGATGCTTCAAAACCCCTATCCGCCGACCCTAAAGCCCGCGTGATCGCCCCGATCCCCAACGAATGGCGGCCCCACAAGAAGATGAAGAACATGGAGCTCCCCATCACCGAGCCCAACGGCCACGAGCTCCAGTTCGAGGTCGAGACGCTCTCGGTCAACGACGACCCCGACGCCAAGATTTCGTACGGTCTCAATCTTCGGGAGAAATCGGAATCCGAGAATCGGGAGAGGTTGGGGAACGATGAGCGGCCGAGATCGAGAGGCGTGGAGGATACGCTGCTGCAGAAGTTTAAAGACGATTTGGAGCGGTTGTCGGATCATAGGGGGTTGGAGGAGTACGAAGAGATGCCGGTGGAGGGTTACGGCGAGGCGTTGCTTACCGGGTACGGGTGGTACCCGGGTAGAGGAATTGGGAAGAATGCGAAGGAAGATGTGAAAATTGTGGAGTATACTCGGAGTAGTGATAGGCACGGGTTAGGGTTTCTTGCAAATTCGAAAGAGAATTCGAAAGAGAAGGATAGAAAGAATTCGAAAGAGAAGGAGAAGAGGAAAGAAGGGGATGTGGGGAAGGAAGTTAGGATCGTTGCGGGTCGAGACTATGTGGGTTTGAGAGGTAGGATTTTGGAGAAACTGAGTAATGGGAAACTGGTTTTGAAACTGTTAAGTAAGAGCAAGGGGCAAGATGAAGAGGTAGTAAAAGTGAATGCGGGTGAAGTTGCGGAATTGGGTTCGAAAGAAGAAGAGAAGTGCTTGAGGAGATTGAATGAGACAAAAAGGAAAGTGGGTAGTGATAGTAAGCCGAGACAAGAGGAGCCGAGGGGTTATTCGACATGGCTTGCGAGGAACATTCGGGTCAGGGTTATTAGCAAGGACTTGAAAGGCGGGAAATTGTATTTGAGAAAAGGAGAGGTGATGGATGTTGTTGGACCCTACACCTGTGATATATCTATGGATGGGAATAGGGAGCTTGTGCAGGGGGTGTCCCAGGATTTTCTTGAGACTGCCCTGCCAAGGCGTGGAGGACCCGTTCTTGTGTTATCTGGGAAGCATAAGGGGGTCTATGGTAGTCTTGTGGAGAAGGATTCCGACAGAGAGACTGGTGTTGTCAAGGATTCCGATACCCATGCCTTGCTCAATGTGGGTCTTGAGCAGATTGCCGAGTTTACTGGTGATCCCAACGATCTTGGATATTGATTCATAGGTACTTGGAGTCATAATTTCATTCCCTTTATACTGTGTTTGTAAGCTGAAATTCCTGTCAACTAAATTTGATATCTTTGTTTCCCATGCGAGAGATCTGCGTTGTACTATAATGACTGGGCAGTTAGTCATTATTCCTGCTGTTTGGAACTATATCGGCAGTTGGTGGCCTGGGAATTCTTATTCTTCATTTTCTAAGAAGTTTGCAGTATAACCAATGAGCCAATGACAGAGGATTATCTTATAGTGTCAAAAAGCAGGTATGACCTATGTATCAAATACTTATAAAACTCTAGAGAATAGTGCACATGCTGAACCAAAGGGCGGACTATATCCGTCTATAAAAGTATCGTTTAAAATATTAATTATACAATGCGAACCACCGGGCAGCCTCCTATATTTAAAACTCCAATAAACGAGATCCTTATTCAGATTGTATGAGAATAATCGAAAAAATAAGTAAGGAATAAATGTAATGAAGAGCCTACGAGACAACTGTAGAAACCATTACATCAAAAGGTGCTGAGGAGAGATTAAGTCTATGGTACATCCCACAATTGCTGTGGATATAAGAAACAGTCTATCTTGTGATGTTAGGCATGATAATTCGCGAGTTCGAGGAAAACAATTTAGGAAAACTAGAACACCAAAAAAAACCATTGCGTTTACAACTCAGGATAGTTGCCGACGCGATTTTGTACATGAGAACAACAGAGTTAGAAATGAGATATAGAGTAATTGATAGAGTCTGACTAACATCAATGATCGCGCGAGTTACCTTTTCAATGAGCACAACAGAATTATTCTCACACGGATGCGTGATGAAGAACCATAGAATCAAGCAGTCTCGAGTATTATACTGTCAGAGCAGCGACTGAGTATTCCTCTTTGGTGCGTACTACACTGAGGGTAGCGTCCTGCATCTATGTATCTATCTGAGCGCGCCAATTGGTCCACACGAGACAGGACTCGTTTAATGTCCTGATTGAGAGGCATAAATGCATATCCGAGCATGCTTGAGCGGACTATAAACAAACCAAGTCCTGTCCCCTCCATTTCTGGGGAGAAACCTTGCCATCACCATAACCTAAAGAACGCTTTTACCTTATGTCATTGAAACCTTCCACTTATAGCTCGTCCGAGACGCCAGCTCCCACAAGCTTGTGTAATAGAAATCAAGACGAATCACTCCGCCAGACGAAGTTGTAGCGCCATCTGGGAAACATGCGAACAGGCACGTTTTCATTACCACAAAAAAATCCTGGATGGGATCTCACTCTCGAATCCCTGCTCAGGACAATATCGGCAACAGCATTCCCTGCGGCGATCGTCATTAAGTATCAGATAACGTCGTAGCGCAGGAGAATGGCCTCACGAAGAGAGTTATCCACGATCTACGAGATACCAGAGTCACCAATCCCCTGGTTTTAGTGTCCTTTCAAAATCTCCCAACCAATTTTCTCCTGCCATTCTGATAGTTCTTGTCTGGAGATGTCACAGGTGCCCGCAACCCCAACGATGCCGGCTCTCATCTGCAATGCCATGCGAGGCATACGCCACGCCGCCACCTGGCTCTTCCGGTGGGTGTAAAACATCCCCGTCTACCCTATCTACCTACTCCAATAATCCCTCGTTTCTCCTTCGCGAGTACCTTACCCGTTCCACATGCATTCTACACCAAGCCTAGCCCTAAAAAGAAGCACAAACCTTTGTTGTGACTAATTTGTACCGAGACTCAATTTCCCCCCTCCATTCATCCAACCTATACTGTTTGAGGGCGCGCGAAGACTTAGCATCTTTTAAACAATTTCTAGTGAGTTCGAATGGAAGTCGGTCCTCCTCCTCCCAAACAAGTGGAACGCACTTCCCTTGACGTAAATATTACACGTTTCGACGGACTGAAGTATATTGGTCCAGCAACATAGTCATCAAGTTGTTCTTCCTAAAGATACCATAATCAATCTCGAGCCCCTCCATATAATAAGGAGTGCATCGCAATCTCGCCAGTAAATGATTAGCCTCACTTCCTGTACCCCTCGCCCATCTCTTTTCTTTCCCTCTTTCCTTGCCCGATTCATTTTGAAATTCTTTTTATCACTAAACGTACTGCATTCTACCGAAATTCAATCCTCGATTATCAGGAAAAAAATTGCATAATTTAACACCACAAACACGACCGATAGAGCGCTTAAAAGCACACACTACGACACATTATAGCTTCACTACAATGATGTATCAAAAAGCATATCGTTCATTCCGTACATTCTTCACTCAAGACTCTCTAACCCCGTCAAATCGCCGAAAATTGATCTGAAGATTTCTCATTTACAAATGAAGAGGAATACCACTATATTGTAATACTAAGTGGCTCCTTTGAGTTAATAACTCCATCCATGTTATCTGATTATCCTCGTGTCAAAATTACTGAATCCATAGTCACAAAGCCTTTTTTTAGTACATGGGTATAATTTGCACTAAGGGATAGAGGTGAGAAATGTTTGAGATTGCGCATACACTTCGTAAGATAGAGAAAGCCCTGTACGCCTCCAACCCACCTACGTCCAATCGCTGATACCCATATCCGTACAATACTACACCTAAGACCGCAACTCAGATACACAAAGACCCCTTCAACCCAAAAATTCAAGATACCTTTATAAAACTATCTTCCGGCAAGATCAGCGAGATAATTTTTCAGTTCAGTCCTTAACT